GGTAACTTTTTCTTGGAAATGAAAAATAAGTTTCTGTATACTATAATTCAATAAGCATCTCGTTCTATTTCATAAAACTTAGTCAAATGATTATGCACATTTGTTAACTAAGCAATTACTTATGATGTATGTAATGCATGGTGATTTTTTCATTGGACCCATAAATAGGCTATGAAACCGAGTCAGATCAACATTGTTAGAACTCTTTACGACTTTTTCCTCTGATTTTTTCTCTTAATCTAACTTTGCAGTGATCATCAATTCAGAAATGACAATTCAAGGTCTGAAAAGTTTAATGTAGCTACTGTTCAAATACCTCGTACAGAAGTCTTACGTGACCGTTCTTGCTCCTGCCCATCCAATTCAAGCTCACCTCGGAGCTCCTTAGGTTCAACTTCAATGCCAGGCAAAGTGTTGGACCTCTATATAGATGGTGAGCATCATCAAGAAATGAAGCATGGAATCAGTGATCATTATCCTAAAAGCTCTGAAGGAAGTAACTTGTTTTTCCTTTCTAATGGTGCTCCTAGAAATTACCCTTTGAGGTCTGAAAATCAACATGAGTCTCCGAGGAAGCTTGCTAAGGATGTGGTTGAAAGGCTTCTGAGGATAGAACAAATATGTGATCCAAATAAACATGAAGAACAGGATGATATTCTTGACAAGCATTTGGATGGACAAAATTCTAAATTGTTCCCTGAAGAAAAAGAGGATCTCACTGATTTAGCATTGCAGAGAAAACTAGAAGAAGTCAAGGAGAGGGTGCAGGTTGCAGAAAGAACCTTGTTTCGAAATTGCAGTGTTGAATCATTAAGAGACTTGGAGCTTGAAATCTGTGACCAATTGCAGTGCCGAATTGCTGAAAGGAATGCTTATAAAAAAGCAGTGTCATTGTTGAAGGATGAGACACACTCAGCGATAGTAAAGTTAGAGAGAGAGAAAGATGAAATGAGTTCTCGATTGCAGAAGGAGCTGAATAGAAGGTCTGATGAGTGGGAAATTAAGCTGAGAGAGTTTCAGTCAGAAGAGCATCGATTAAGAGACCGAGTAAGGGAGCTAGCGGAGCAGAATGTGTCTCTTCAAAGAAAAATATCTGGCTTCTACAACAAGGAAAAAGAGTACACTGATAGACTATCAGGCATGGAGGTTCATCTCAAAAATCTTATAGCTGAAGTGGACATTGCAAGATCAGAAAAGGACAATCTGCTGGATAAACTGTCTGAGATTCAAGATAAGCTAAAAGTTTCTGAAGAAGTTCAGTACTCTTTAGACAGAAAATACAAAGAAAAGGAAGAGGAATATATGGAGTTGACCAAAATAGTTTCAAGGCTTCAAGGTACTTGTAATGAACAAGAAAGAACAATTGATGGTTTAAGGCAATGCTCAAATTCAGAGAATCTTACAAATAAATGGCAAATGGAACAACTGCGGTTGACAGGAGTTGAACAAGATCTGAGGAGACAGCTGGAGACTTGTACTGCCGAAACAAGTTCTCTTCGTAGTGAAAACATATATTTGTTTGAACGTTTAAAAAGTACAGGAAAAGTGGGTGGATCTTCAGCTCTGAAACTGGAGCATGAGCTTGAATCTTATGTTCAGTGCTTGCAAAACACAGGCTTATCACTTCTGAATGAGAGTATCCAAATGTGTGAAAATCTTCATGGGGCTCTCGATAGGAAAACAATTTCTGAAGGTTCTATTGAATCACATTCTCTCGTTCAATATGGTATGAAGGTTCAAGAATTCAGAAAGGGTTTAGAGCAGCTAACAAGAAGCCTAGGAAAAACTGCTTCTGTTCTTAAGGAGAAAGCTGACATAGCTAGTTCTGAACCTGAGTTATCTGAGGATCCATCTAACAGAGAGGTTTTTGAGGTAAGTGAATATGGTCAAACTTTACTAGCTTTGATTATCAGTTAAAATATGGTCAATGTTAAACCTCAAACATTGCTAAAAAAATTCCATGAAAAATTATTAATGAATGGAAGGGTTACTCGATTTTCATTTTTTGCTCTGATGTACTATCACTTTGTAGGATGATTTGAAATCAGAGCTCAAGGAAGAACGATTACTGACTAGCATTCTTAAGGAAAAACTGTATTTTAAAGAGAAGGAAGTAGAGCGAATGCAGGTTGAACTAGCGAGAGCTCTAAGGAGTCATGATGTTCTGAAGCGAGAGATCCAAGATGCAGCCGATACTGTTTCTTGTGTAAATCATAAAATGAAGAATCTTGAGCTTCAGGTAGCATGGCATTTTTTACTGATATCTACTTTGTTTGATCCATTTTTACTGATGATAATCTTTTGAATTAAAAATATCACACCCGTGTCAACAAAAAAAGACCAATTTGGATTTGGGTTGGTCAGTCTAATTTTCGGGTTTAATCTTCATTTAACCTTTGCCAGGTTTGGGCCGGGTAATTGGGGTATCTGAAGTTATATGCACTTGTAATAAAAGGTCTCTGGGCAGTAAAACTTCATTTTTTTTTTGAATTTGAAGTGCATTTTATAAAACTTTTCTTGGTCTTAAGATTCTAAGTCAGTTTAGGTTGGGTTTGGGTTGGTTTGCGTGAATTTGGCATATAGTTCATGTTATGAACACAGATGTATAACCTCTCACACACTCTTTTTGCTTCCTTGAACAGATGATACAAAAGGATGGAACCATAAATCAGCTTCAAGGTGACATAAGGTCATATGATGAGGAGGTGACGAGTACTAGAGGCGTTTTATCAAAAGTAACTCAAGAAAGAGATTTGATGTGGCAGGAGGTGAAGGGATACAATGAGAAAAACATGTTGCTTAATCTCGAAATCGAGTCACTTAAGAAGAAGATAGAGGCCCTAGAAGAAGATACACTCCTTAAGGATGGTCAGATCACAATCTTGAAAGATAGCCTTAACAATGCTAAATCTTTCAATCTTCTTTTTGAAACTGAACATGTGAATGAGTTCTAGCTTTGATTGATTTGAGTACATAGGTGTTGATTCATAGTCCAGGCGCAAGCCTTGTTGATTGGTAGTCTAGTTGGAAGGCGTTCGGGTCTTACTACCTCCAGTTTAGTACAATCCTTGTGCAAATCATAATTTGTGACTCATAGTGATTCGAATCGTAGAATAATAAGTGATCAAATATGTATGTTCGAGAATCGGATATGGATACTTCATACAGTAACATCATTGACCTTCTCAGTGTCAACTCTTTTTTGTACATTCATTTAAGATTTCTTATATAAATCAAAAGCAGAAGGATGGTAGTTAATATTGATGGAGATATGTGTTACTGTGTTCATGCTCTTAATAGCTTGTTCAATGTTATTATCAACACCTTTTGTTGATCATAATTTTTGTACTCAGTATTTTTTTTACAAATTCATTAATTTGCCTAGGAACTCCAATTATTATGACTGACTATTTGCAATTTTCTAGAGATTTCTATATTTCAAAATCATGTAGTTACTTTTTTTTTTTTTTAGAGGAATCATTTAGTTACTTCAAAAGTTACTGCAAAATTTAAACAAGGAATGCCAAATTAATAACATTATCCTGTAAAGTGGCCTAATATAATAGCAGTACTGCAGTAGTACTGTAGTCTGTTATACTTGTACTAATAAAGAAGATTAACTTAATACACAATCATCTAAGCTTAAATTTCTAACATTAAAAGTAGAATGTACATAACAAAATTTTAATACAAAAAATGTCTTGTTAATTTGCACCCGAATTGAACAGAATTGAACATGTAGCTGAGGCCCTTGGTAAACTCTGCAACGCAGCTTCGAGCGCCATATTATCTGCTGTTGGATAATATCCCTTCCTTATGATCAACTCCTCCAACACAAAAGCACGTCTCAACAAAAACTGGATCACATTAATTTCCCACTCCTGCCCAAAGTAGTGATCAATCACGATTCGTTTAAGATGATATTGACAACATGAAGGAATAACTGTTAGAGTTTCTCTGAAAAACTCTTGTTCTTCCTCACTCGTCAAGACTATGACATACTTCACCATTAGAGAATGCAATCAATCCCTGCAAAGTTGGTCGAAATCAACATCGTTATGTCATTCTTTGAATCAAATTTATTCTATGTATATGTAAAATTAATACAGAAGTGAAGTCACAGACTAAGCTCAGGAAACTCCAGAGTTTCTAAGACCGGCGAATGATTCAGAAATGCCAAAAGTACTTTATCCCAATAGTTTTGATCAGCTAAACCCAGCTCTAGATATTTCAAATTATAAAACACTGGCAATTCATTCTCTATAGTCAATCTCACATTACATAATATATAATACATACCACATTTTGCAGATAACAATTAACGGAGACAGTGCTTTTATGAGGGATCTTTTGCAAGATTCCAAATAAGACAATAAAAAAGAAACGGAGAGAGTATATAAACAAAGAAATCGGAACATAATCATCCATTATGGTATTTCCAAAGATTATTTGTGCTTGTACCAAACGATTCATGTTCGTAAATGAGTGTTGTACTGTTACATTATCACTATAATAAAGGGACTCCAAATTAGGAGTATCAGTAAGCACATAATCTATGTTACCATATGTATCAAGTTTTTCCATAACTAAACACAACCTTCGAAGAGAAGGCGAAGAGAAAATTAGGGGATGTTTGGTTCATTAAATTAGAATAAATTTGTATGAAATTTCAACTCATACTAGATATATATCGATTCTAATAAGTAAAACTCATACAACATTTGGGCCTGTTCTGATTGACTGAACTGAGCTGAGCTGAAATGAACTGAATATTTTATGAGAGGAGGATATTAGGAACTGAATTGGACAGACTCGAAAATAATCTGAGGAGAACAGACCCTTAGTATAAAGTTGTCTGGTTAATTGGTTTTATTGTTGGAATGCTTTCTACAATCGATAATTACAACGAATTTTACAAGAAATAACAATACAAAGCCTACTGTGAAATAACAATTATAAATAAACATAAAATAAAAAATAAAGATAAAGTTGCATAAAAATTAAGGCCAAACAAGCTCAGAATCAATCCTTAAATGAGGAAGATCATCATCATTACTATGATTATCACCATCTTTAAATTGCTTCTGCTTAATCTCAACTCTAATAATCTCTTTCTCTCTCTTCATCTTTTTCTGCAAATCTGAAGAAATTGGAGCTGCAACACTTGAACTGTAAGTGTAAACAATCTGGGTATTTACTGGGTGAAGTAACTCTGATACTAACAAGATTAGTGATGCCATCAAAATTAAATATTTGATCTTTGATTTCTTGGGTTTTTCTGTGTTTTTATGGTTGTTTTAATATAAATGGATTTTGGTTTATATATATATATATACAACTTATATTAGGTGATGAAATTAATTTGTATATCATAGTCAAAAGTACCCACAGTTCTTGTATTAAATGTTGTTGTGTTTTACCAGTATTTTTGCTGCTGGTTTTAATTTGGTGGCAAATAATATTCTAGTTGCCCATCTTTATTTGAGTTAATTCATGTAGGTTGAAAACAGTTGTCTGTGTGCTTGTGTGGTATGGTTTTATGATGCTTGGTTTTTTTGGGGTTGTGTTATGACCAAGCATTGCAAATGGGTTTCTTCCTATATGCAGATTTTATTTTAATTGGTCGTCTACGCGTTATGTAGGGGCGCGTTGTAGAAATGACATGTCTCCCTTGTATGTGCGTGTGTGTCAGAGGAAGTACATACTAATAATTACTCTAGTTGTGAATGACAATAATAAGTGCTCGTCTAATACGGAGTACTTTGAGATCTCATATTGGTATAGATATTGTACATACTCGAAATTTGTAAGTGGTAATAGTTTTATTGATACGAGTGAGTATTTTTTTTTTATCTAAAATATACAAATATGAGTTTAAAGTGCCAACAAATACTTGTTATTGTCATTAATAACAAGACTACATCATGTGAAATTTAGTTTTGAATGATTGAGGATATTACCACTTGAGAATTGAGATCATAGTAATGGGAAGATTGTCCATTTATATCAAATTGTTCACTATTTCTATATCTATATCTAGTAACAAGTTTAGTAAAGCAATATACAAAGGGTTTTTTTTTTTTTTTTTTTTTATTATGAATAATTTTACTACCATGAGATTAAAATATATAATTTCGTGAGAATGTGTATTAATCTAGCAAACTTTGTTTTACAAATTTTTACAAATCTATACATAATACATGATTGGTGGCACGTTTTATCTTCATAAAAAAAAATTTGTTTTCTGATAGAGATATTATTTAAGTAAATACTCTAAATTTCATAAAGCTTTATATTTTAAATTTTCTAACCATCAATAAATATATCCTCATGTGCACTACTATGTTTTTTAAAATATCGTCTCTTCATATCAAATCGCATCTGCATCACTATCCGACATAAAAAATCCTCTTTACATACACCAACCATTAATATGTGAAAATTGCTTTCAAATGTCTTATTAGCAAACTTGAAATGGAAGAAAAATGTGGCAAAATTGAAACCAAGGGTTAGTTGCGGGTTTGGGGGCCCGCTGAATTTGCTTTCGCCAGATTAGCTTTTAGCTTTTAGGCTGCTGAAAAAGCCAAGGTCCACAATTATAAACCAAAAAAAATTGAGCCCACTTTTTTAATACTCACTTTGTAGAAGTTACTTCCTCCTAACAAAAGTAGCTTCAAAATTTTAATTTCTTTGTTTTTGGGCTAAAACTTTTAGGGTAGACCCACAAATTTAGGCCACTTTTTTTCACTAACATGAAATCTCTAAGTAGACAAAGCTATAATGGTGGACATATATACCAAATCTAAGGAAAGGGAAGAAAGCAATTTGAGTTTTGATTATTTTGATTTGGGGTATTTGTTTTTGGATTGTTACTAAGAAAAGAAATATTGTTACAAACTTTCCCATGACTTCTATGTGGGGGATTTTGGAAATTCATTTGAAAGAAAATACTCCATATATTTTTTTTTTCAAAGACATAAATAAAAGGCAAAAGCTAATGAACGCCCCGGAGGTGTTAGATAAGATAGATAAAAGTAAAAAAATTAGACTAAAATGAACATTAATTACATCGATTGACGCATGATTTTGACATACATTCCCAAATTAATACCACTTTAGGAAATGTTTTCTATGCTTATCTAACGCCCCAGGGTCGTTCGTTAACAAGATCCTAAATAAAAAAAATAGATAAATAAATAAATAAAAGGTCGTGTTAAGTTTGATTGGTGGTACAATATCCAATTTATAATGGATGCACAATATAGTATAAATATGTTTGAAATTGCGTCATAACTAAATTTAATTGAAATTGTTTTATCCATACTCTTGTATGCTTATTGTTTAAACTTATTTTGTCTAAAAAGTTAAATAAAGTTAAAATAAGATGAACTAAATAGATTCTTAGAATTTCACGACACTTATAAATATATGTTACTAGTATGATCTTAATGAAGCATATGTAATAGTATATGCTAAAAATTCATGTTTGGCCAAACTTAATTATATGATACTATGACATAATATTGAACATGATAAAGTGGTTTAATATTGAGGTTTCTAAAATAATTCTTGTAAAAGAACCTATTATAGATTATACATATTACAAGTATATTTTAAAACAAATAGATATCAAGCTAAAGGCCATTATTATTAGGAACAATGAAAATTATGAAACTTGTACAATAATTAGTTATATCTCATTCTCAGCTCGAAGAGACAAATAGAATCTCTCATTTTGGTTCTACATAAGAAAAAACATTTGAAACTATGGAGCAATTTCATAGGAAACTGTCAAATTACATGATTGAACCCTTTCAAATTATGTGATAATAATATAATATCATAATATATTAGCTATGATAAGATTGGTGTCTTGCACGAATTATATCACTAAGATTATTACAAGTATAAAATTTAGATCATATTAATTATATTATTCTAAGTTATGTCATGTGCAATTTCTAGCAAGATTACTAATCATGAAAAGAAATCAACAAAAGAAGTTGTCCCATAAAGTACCTAATAGAAGGGACAAGACATCAATCATGATGGAAGGTTGAATGTTTATATTAGCAAACTATCATGGGCAGACCATATATGCCATCCCTCTATTATCTTATGTAACATACATTTTTTTTAACCTAAGGTACATGTATATACAAGTAATAGTTTTTATGTTTCACTAATTGCAATAATTTATTATATTGGTGTTTTAAAAAAAAATCTTGCGTCTTTTGTGGAGTGATTTTTCTCTGTACATTTGGTTATACCAAGTACACATTAAGACCTTTTAATTTATTTGCCTATGTGCTTGTGCCTTGTGAGCTCATAGGAAAAATAATAACATTGATGGTATTTTACAATGTACTCTCGAATTAATTAAAAAAAATTCTCTTTATCATTTTATTTATTTATTTTTATTTTTTTCCGCCTCCTTTTTATCTTCCTTAAAATAAAAGTACTTCATTCTTACTTTGTACTTGTTCTTAGAAATCAGTCAACAACACTTGCTACTCTTTCCTATCACCTGAAATATTATTATTCCGGTTAGAAGCGTTGCAATTTTTATGAAATAAAAGAATATTATAATTATTATTAAGCTCAAATTTTTCCTTAATAAAGGGACCAAATTCAAAGAGAAAACATAAAGAAAGGGTATCTCCTTAAAGAGTGCTCAACCATGTTATATGCATCTTTATTTTCATTGAACAAAAGTACAATTTGGTACCAAGAATAATCCAAATATAATTAGCTTTTAAAAACAATTAAAAGTTTAATATAAGATGAACTATGCAATATGACTACTAATTAATGGGTGATAACTTAATTATTTGACTTCAAAGTTCTAAACAACAAACAAAGAATATCTTTCTATTATTATAATATCATACTAATTAATCATTTTAATTATGTTATGTAGGGATTATTGGCCTAACCAACTTGAAATGATGACATCTTTCTGCGCATACATTCCTTTTCACTACTTTAATTATTCTCTTTGTCTTAGATTTGGCTTTCCTATTTTATATTTCTTTCTTAACATCTTCTAATCATTTTTTTTTCTTTTTTGTTTAACAACGTAACCTTTATTTTTGTCTGGTTACATGCTAAAATTCTCAATTAATCTAAAGTAATAGCTTTTGATTTTCTTGTGCTATAATTGAAGTAGGGGGTGCAAAGCTATAGGGCATGTTCCGATTGACTGAACTGAACTTATTAATTAGTGATTTTTAACTACGAATTAGTGATCTTTGATTATTTATTGATTATTTATTACTATACATATGTGTATATACAAATGTACATATTATTAATAATAATAATAATAATATTAATAATAATAATAATAATAATATTATTATTATTAATTATTATTATTATTATTATTATTTATTGATTATTATTATTAGTATTATTATTGTTATTATTATTATTATTTATTGATTATTATTATTAGTATTATTATTGTTATTATTATTATTATTTATTGATGATTATTATTATTATTATTTATTGATTATTATTATTAGTATTATTATTTCAATTATTATTGTTATTATTATTATTATTATTATTTATTACTTATTGATTATTATTATTATTATTATTGTTAATATTATTATTGTTGTTGTTGTTGTTGTCGTTGTAATAAGAGCTTAAAAGAATGAAATTTGGCTTTATATCATTAGCAATATCATTAGACGTAAATTAAGAGCTGAACTGAACTGAACTGAACTGAGCTGAACTGAACTGAACCGAACTGAATTTCAACGAAAGAGAACAAGCCCTTAAGTTTGGATCAATTTGACTCATAGTGTGAATGCGCGCCTATTTTGAACTAAAGATTATAATTAGCTCGACTCGATATTCATCGAATTCGACTAGAGAGTAGAGCGGTTGTGAAGTGAAATTTTTTTCACGTATAAGGTATATTTTGAATTAAATAAAATGAGCTCAGAGTATGTACTCTGTAATAGATTAAGATAATCGCCAATAAAGACAAATTTTCTTTGACAGAACGTTGTTGAAATCAAATGAACCTCAGTTCAGAAAATAAAAATAATACGAAGTATGAAATTTAATGGCTTACAGCTAGAAATTTTGATAAAATTAATAGGAAGTACTTTTTAATTGAAAAGGCTATTTGTTTAATTAGGAACTAAGGCTTCTATTCATAATATATAGAACCACCAAAAATTAAGTCCACAAATTAAATACTTGTAACAACTTCCCTCTGTAGTCTCTACCAACTCATCAATAACCATTTTGCATGATCAACTACCACATTCATGACCATAAAAATAGAGTAAATGATGATTATTGAGATGTGCTCAGATCAAATACTTTGATTTGAGTCCTAATTTACTTGTATTTTCTTTAAAATCATGTTGAGTGCAAATCAATGATGACCATAATCCTTAATAAACTTGCAAACCTTAGTTCCTCACATTCTCAACATTTTAAAATGTCCCTTTCTATGACTACTTAGGCGGAGGAGTTTCAGAACACGTGAATGAATGTCCTTTTAATTAGAGAGGAGAGAAAATTTTGAAGCGCATGACAAAATATAATATATAAGTATAAATTAACCAACACAAGCATAACGTAACGTAAATAGATTGAACTTAAACTTGGACCAGTAATATAATTCAATTTCTCAAAAAATGTTCTATATATTATTGCATAAGCACTAGAAACATAAAACAAGCTAACAACTATATCTCAATCACACAAACTTACAAAAACAAATTACTCACAAAACTCACTAATCAAACGACAAAATCAAAACATAATCCCACAAAAATAAAAATCCAATTTTGTTTAGAAAAATTATTAAGCCATCATTGATGAATAAAAATAAAAATGAATCTAAGGACAACTTACTAGTACTCCTAGACAAATCCTCATCATGTTGCAAAAGGCATAGACAAAAGAAAACTTTAGATCATGACCTTTCTACATACATGACACAACCCAAGTCTCTCCCTATTTCCACCTCCCATTGACATGGGCTGCTACTCCATGACCCTGTTGTGTTGCCCTACCACCCACATGCCTCGCCGTGCTCGGCGGGCCCCCCTCCGCCGAGCATTTTATTGGCCCCGGTCCCACGCTAACCGCCTTCTCACATCGACAGCTCAACAACCCACCACCCCCTTTACTACTCCTCTTATTATTATCTTGATGATCACTCCCACCCCCACCACCACCATCACCATTATTTCTCTCCGACTCCCGCCTCATGGCGGCGTATAGCCCTATTTCCGACGCTGACACTGAGAAGTTGCTAAGGCTAGCACGGTCGTACCCCTCGGCGGTGGTGACACTCCAATCAATGCTCACCTCACTAGGTGCATAACACTCAGTTGGTGCTATTGAAGGTGTCATAGGCTCATCTAAGCCCTCATTTTCATCCAAATGATTGATATTATTCAAGTTACTCCTACAAACAATCCCAAGTCTCTTCATTGTACTAGTATTAAAACTCGAAACCGGGACAACCACATCATCCATTGAATCCCTACAAGGGTATGATGTAGTTGTAAAGCTCTCAATCTCAAACAAGTCTGAGCTCCCATCACTCAGTACATTGTCATCTTCGTAGCTCGTTCTTCGTGACTTAGGACTCGAGTGGCTCCTTGGTTGATACACCTCTAATGACTCCCTTGGTGGTTCTGCAATCACATTGAACATCTTCTTCACCCCCACTGGCGGATTTTCAAGGATCGGGAATGTAAATCCGTTAGTATTACAACCTGTTGTACCACCTACAACAGCCGCGGCCTTAGCAGCAGCAACATTATTAGTTATGACAGTTGTAGCAGTAGTACCAATCATTTCTGAATGATTAGCAAAAGACTTCAAGGGGCCCATGGACACAACCTTATTGGGGTTCGAGATATTGCTTGTATAGCCATTTTTCGTGTGGTGGTTGTGGTGGTGGTGGTTGATTCCGTTTGAGTTGTTCTTAAGGTCTTGAACAGGGGGAATAGTAACATTTGAGGGTGTTAAGGGTTTTGATTTATACGTACCGCCTTTTTTGGGACTATTTTGTCTAGGAGAGTACCAAGAGGAAGATATGTAATTTGTTGAACTACCATTTGATGAAGTACTTCTTCTTAAATCAACCATCCTAGGTGTGTTGGACTCGATCCTTTCTTCAACTTGAACTGATTTCTTCCCCGAACAAGGGCATTTTCGCCTAGGAATAAGCCATTTCGTGCTTATCCTAGGCCATCTTGGGGTGGCGTTACTAGTACTAGTCGTACTACTATTTGGGGACAAATTTTTAGTAAGACAGACACCAGTAGAGCCAGGCGGGTTTGCTAGCAAACCCGTCTGGCTATTCCAACTAGCCTCCGAGGAGGCAGTTGGAGTTGCATGGAATGACCTCGCTCTATAATTACTATTACTATTTCTCCCCCCATAGTTACTCCCATTATCATCGATCGATGATGATACTGAGGAGAACCTAGAGGGGATCGAAGCAAGGTGATCGAGTCCCCCCTTCGAGTTTTTGTCTTCTTTTTGATCATCATGTAGACCACTGAAGTACTTTGCTGCATCAAAAATGCTAATTTGATCAGAATCCTCTGCTCTGACTTGTCCTGTTTGAGGAGGAATGTACTTGTTTTGATGATTTTGTGTTTGATGAAGGTAAGAAGAGAAGGATACATCTTTTTTAGATATGAATTGAGCTCTAACTATGGAAGGGTCTATGATATCAAACTTTGGTTTAGGAATATTTTGTTGTTGTTTAAGATCATGAAATTGATCCATTTTTTTTAAGCTAATGTTTAATAAGAAAGGGTAGTGTTTAATTTTGATTGGATGCTTTGCATTTATATCCAACATCAAGTGTTTATATGAATGTTGGATGATCAATAATTTATCTACTAAGCAACAAAATAGTACAACGATGTTTTAGGACTATATGGTAAGATTGTTAACACACAAAAAAAGGGGGTAAAAAAAAAAAAAAAAAAAAAAAAAAAGGGGAGGGGGGGGGGGTAAAAAAAAAAGCTTTTTCCTTTTATGAGATTAGGATTAAATCATTTGGGTGTGTATATGATAAGTATGCTTTTTTGGACAAGAAAGAAATGGGGTATGTTTTGATTTTTTTTAGTTGAATTGATGTGATGTGGGACAAGAAATGGAAGATGGGTGTATAAGAGTTAGCATCAAAATGAATTTAGTCTTCTCTTTAAGAAAAGGAAAAAAAAATGTTGGTTTTATTGACTAAAATAGTATAATGATGTTGAGATTTAAATTATAGATTGTTGATTTAAAAGTGGATTTTTTAATTCCATTCTTTGGTTATTTAAATTAGTTTATGGTCCCACATATATTTATCTACAGAATTATGCTTAAAATAAACATTTTTTATGAAATTGACTTTGAAGTTTGGTTCATTATATGTAGAAGAATCTTAATTGGTTAATTTTATATTGGTTTTGGGTGTTTAAGTAGTAAACATATTAACTAATCGTTGAGTACTAATGATTAGTTAAACTACAAAATTATTTGATGAGAAGAGAACAAAAATGTTTTTTTTTTCCTTTTGTAACCAAAGGATTTAAATGCCTTAGTTTGTTCTCAATTTTTTTTTCTTTTTTTTTTTCACTCTAGTTCCTCCAATAAACGAAGTATTAGACTCTTAGAGCTTATTTGACATCATTTTTTTGTTTTTAGTTTTCAGTTTTTTTAAAATAAAAAACCAAAAATAAGAAACAAGAAAAAGATGTTCACTTTTCTGTTGTCAGTTTTCAAAATTATCATGATCTTAACAAGTTTGAATAATTTTTGATTCATTATATGACATATATCATATGATTTTAAAAAACAAAAAACCAAAAAACAGAAAACCACAGTGATGCCAAACGAACCCTTAGTTACGTACTTATGTATGTAATTTTCCTATTTTACTTTCAAAAAAGGATCTTGCTAACGAGCGCCCTGAGGCGTTAGATAAGGAGTAATTATACTGGTTGAAATGGTATTAAGTTAGGAATGCATGACAAAATCATGCGTCGTTCGGTGTAATTAATGTTAATTTTACTCTAATATTTCCACTTTCATTCTCTTATCTAACGTCCCGAAGGCGCTCATTAGCTTTTGCCTTTCAAAAAATATATAAATCATTAAAGCCTAAGTAATTGTAGCATATAGTACAATGTTGACATATGGCGTTAATTACTCCATAATTATGGATAAAGTAGCATTTACTATACTTTAAGATCGAGTATTTATTACCCAATAAGGTGAATTAGTTTAATACATTTAAGGTGATCTATACATTACTTAATCTTTAATACGAGTTGTGTGGAAAAAGGGTTATGAAATAAAACACCTATTATTAGCAATCTGCCAAATCTTGCTTGCTTAATATAGTTAGTGTATTATATTGACGGTTCATAGAATTCGTAGGACAACGGTCAATCAAACTATACTAACTAAATTAGGTGATGCGTAATAACATTGTCATTCAAAACAAAATCAAACTAAACTTCATAAAATCTCATAAATCATTAACTTCGTACATATGATGTACGAAGTATTACACACACTTGGGCCGACGTGATTTGAGTGTATAACTATGTATGCAATAACACATATAATCATGTAGTACAATAATTACGCGTAAAACTAATTTTATAGGCCGTGGAAAATACTTTCCAATCAAGCAATAGCACTTGATATTAACATTAGGATCTTGCTAACAAGCGTCTCGAGGCGTTAGATAAGAAGTAATTATATTGGTTGAAATGGTATTAAGTTAGGAATGCATGACAAAATCACGCGTCGTTCGGTTAATTAATTTTAATTTTACTCTAATATTTCCACTTTCATTCTCTTATCCAACGCCCCGGGGGCGCTCATTAGGTTTTGCCTTAATATTAATGACACTTAAATTAATCACATTTTGGTTACAGTTGAAAATTATGTACTCCTTTTTTTTATTGCATCAATTTGACTTTTGCATTATTCACCTGTCAGGCTGTCATGTTTGACTTAATTAATTTTCTTTTATAAAATGAAAAAATAAATATTATTATATAATATATTACGGAGTATTAGATTTGTCACAATGTCTTTATTTATAATATAATTTTGTTACAATTTTTACTAATAGATAATTAAAGATATTAATAGTCAAAATTACGTCTTTGTAAATATATCAGTTAAACTGTTGTATTAAAAAAAAATAGAGGGAGTAATGCACTTAGGTGATTAGGTACCCACACACCCAAAAAAAAAAAAGTAGTAATCAAAACTAAAAATAATTGGGAAAAGGTATACCCCAGTGTAGAGACTTTTTGGCAAAATGAAGTTGTTGGGAGGCATAATGCTATTTAGTGAAGGATTACAACGCTTCATGGTACCTCACATTGCTGAACGTGACATTTACATGCAAATTGGGGCTACTTATAATTACATATCATAATTTCAAGATAAAATCAAGTACTAAAAGTTGGATCAAAGTTTTTTTCAACATGAAATTAGTGATTGTTGCCTATAATATCCAAAGTATGAAATGACTAGTGCAATTTTAGCTTTGGTATACAATGCTAATTCAATTGATTGCTCTTTTATAAGTTGTCAAAGATTATGATTAGATTCTAATCTCCATAGTTGGCTTGTTCGTGTGCTTTATCTTATATATATGGTGCTTGTTTGATTGACAATAAAAAAAATAAAAAAAATAATTAAAAAAAACACATGAAAAGCGAGACTTTACAAATTAGGTGTGTTGTTTGGTTGATGAAAGTATGGTAAAATGGGGGAAGTGAAACTTCTAAAGAGTTTACACTCCCGCATAATGAAGAAATTTATTTTACCTAATCCCTCTGAGGTAAGTAAAAATTCTCATGTAAACCAAACGACACCATAGAATCGTAATACAAGTTAAACCAATTTATAAATAAAGTCATAATTACTCTTATGCCTCGAATTTCTCTCAAGATACAGAGAGAAATTCTAATTTTAGAAGAGTTTCTAGAGTTTTTTTTTTGGTTGATGATAATAAATTTAAAAGCCAAATTAATATTTAAGTAATCCCTCCGTCCCTTAATACAAAGCCTCATTTCCTTTTTCGAGTAAATCAAAATACAATGCCTATTTCTATTTAAAGGTTGTATTTTTTGACATAATTACCCTTTTTTTAATGAGTTGTCATCTTTTTCCCTTTACTTTTTTTGTACTTTTAACATCAATTTTCAATACTTTATCTTTCTATCTCTTTAATTATTCTCAACTACTTTTTCATTCTCTCTATCTCTCTCTAACCTCACATGCATCTATATCCTTTTAATCATTAGTTTTAAAGATTTTACAACTTTCTTAATTCCCGCGCAAAAATAAAAAAATGCTTTATATTAAGGGATGGAGGGAGTACTAACCAAGTTCGTATAATGACTCGATTTCAAACCTCACTCACTTTTCTTCAACGCTAAATTGCTAATTAAGAGTTGAGAATAATGGATTATGATTCAAGGTTGCAAGTTTTCTCTCATACACGACAAAGTTGCTTTACGACAATGATAGAAGCTAAGTTTGGACCGCATAATAAAATGCTCAAACCTATATTTAAGACAAAGGGATAGTTACAACTAGACCTAATAAGTGACACCTACTACAAATCAAGGTTGATATTAGAGCAAGTTTAGCCCAAAGTCTTAAGACTTGGGGTGACTTTATCATTTTAAGTCTTAAGATTTATACTTAAGACTTTTCCCATTTTTCTTCAAAAATCTCAAGCAAGTCTCAAGTTGAGTCTTGAAATTTCAAGACTCAACTTAAGACTTGAAATTGGGACCCACTTCACCCACTTCATTTTTATTTTTATTATCCTTTTTTTTTTACACTTATCTACATATAATATGTCAAATATTTAAGTCTTAGGGCTAAAGTGATAAATTTGTGTAAGTCTTAGTGAGTCTTAACAAGAATTTGATGACATCATTTTCAATGGAGACCACCAAACATCCAAGTCTTAAGACTTGGGGCTAAACTTGCTCTAAGCAACTCCAATGGTAAGCTAATTGTGAAATTAGCTTGTCATGCCACCTAGGATTGCAAAGCTAATCTACCTTGTAGCTAATTAATCCCACAATGGTTAAGCTAATTTTTTTTATTTATTTAATTTTTTTTAATTCCCACAATTTGCTAAGCTAATTAGCTTAGCTAAGCGAATAGCTTTGCCCAGCTAATTTGGTAATGCAATTCCAATGGTTAAGCTAATTATTTATTAGTTTCATAAATTACAAGCTAGTCCTAATTTTACACTGTTGGAGTTGCTCTTATGCATCCTATTTTATGTTCCAATTCGTGTCTCAACTTCGTCTCCTAATTTTGAAACTACTACTGTATATCACAAACTATTTTCGAAATCAAGGAAAGTGACACCAAGCGTAACAAAATAAAGGTAGGTGAGTGTAAGAAAATAGGTAAATTAAGAAGAGCGAATATGAAAAGTGTACAAAAAAAAAAGGAGGTTAAAAGTGAGTCGAACTTTTTAACCTAAAATAGAAAGCAAGTAGCCGAAAACTCGGGAATGAAGGGAGTATCCATAATCGAATAGATGAACCTTACTACTACCCAAGGTCCTACTTTGGATCATATTTGTTTCACTAATGAATAAGTGGGACAATAACGTCAGAAAGACTGATAATAATTCCAATACAATATGAATAACGCAGCATAGTTATACATGTGGTGTATATTATTCGAATAATATTTGGGGTAACAGCCCATGTTTGTAGTAAGGGAAGCAAATCCTGAACTCATACTAGTGAGCATTAGCAGTAAAGAAAGGACAACTCTCAAACAAAAGGATAAGCAAAGATGAACTGGGAATATGGAAGAGAGAAGATTGAGGGTCCATTTCCTTTGATGATTCGATCTATTTCGGAATTGAGAGAATGTTTGCATAAATTTTGTGGTTATCAATTTTTTGCGAATTTTCTAAATGAAACAAGACCACGTTGATAAATTATCGAAAGTAGGCTGGAATTTTGGCCTCAATACAAATATGCTCTAATAATCTATAGATTTTCCATGTTCTATTCAATAATTTAAGCTATGGAGGAAAAAAAAACAACAAAAAAATCAGAAACAAAATTTTACAGGGGAACTCGAAAACACGAGCCTAAAGAGTGGTGACATGTTACATCCAAAATAGAAGACTGAAGAAACGAAACAGGACAGTTACCTGGGATCAAAATTCTTTACAGTGTTTGGTTGAAATTAATCGGCTTTCTTCTTGGCAAATCGCTGCAGTGATTTCGGTAGATCAGCTCCTTCTTCGCTGATTCTTTTCCTTTTCTTTTTTGACAGCTCTTCGTTCTCCTTCATATTCTGTTCGATAATTTGCTTCTTTGCATTCGCAACAATCTCCTGCTTCTTCTTTGCTCTTTTACCGTCTTTGTTCCTACCTTTGGTTTTGTTCTTCAGCTTCTTGCCCTTGGCTGCTTCTACTGCAGCCTCCATCTCTTCTTCTCTCTCTTTCCGAGTTGGTTTGTCCTTCTTTTTAGGTGGCTTTACAGTTCCAATTTTCTTAGGATCCAACATGATAGACTCTGGGGGAAGCTTCTCCAGGAGAGAACGCACTTCTTTTTCACGCCTCTGTTTCGATGTTTCAAATGGATTAGCTACCCACGAGTCAAAGTTTGGTTCTCCAGAACCAGGAATTAAAATTGATGACCATCCCATTGAATGTCCTATTCCAAGAACATCTTCATATGGTCGAAAAGAAACCTCTTGTATCTGATAGCCTTTCGCCATAGAATGGCTCATGTAACGACTGTAATTCTGAGACCCTGAAGCATCTTTGAAAACTTGTACAAATGACCCAGTTGACGCAGCAAGCAAACCTCTCTGACTGAATTCCAAAGATTTTGCATGACCTGGCATCGTCTGAAGAACCTCAAATTTTCTCAAATCCCATAATTTGATTTTTCTCTCCATTCCCGCAGTTGCCATAAGATGTCCATTTGGATGGAAAGCCAATGCTGTTAATGGTCCATGATGACAGAGCATTTTGACGATAGGATTGGGGCTCATAGGCTTCCACATGGTAGATGAGCCATTGGAATGACCTAATGCAATGATACCGTTGTAAGGATTTGCCTGCATCACATCTGTACGACCTAGACCAGTCCGGTAATTAGCAATCATTGTACCCATTGTAACGTCTTGGTAACGAAGCTGTCCAAATTTGTTAATAGATGCCAAAAGGAAGTGGTTCCTTAAGAATTGAAGCTTCGATACAGCCCCATGTTCCTAAATATGAAGTGCAAAATTAATACATGATTATTTACATTGTAGGAGAAAAAATTCATTAAAGTAAGGCAAACTCCCTAACACAAGAAAGCAAATCAGGATTTAAGACCGGCAGTCATGATCCGGTAATTTAAAAGAATAGGGAAAAAAAAAAGAAAAAAAAAAAGGGGGGATCCAATTATCTTCAGCAAGTACACTTACTGACCAAAAACAGGCCAAGTGAAATAAGAGAGTTCTAGTGTTATACTCAATAACCACTATCCAATTTCCAAATATTGTCAATAATGATTCTTTCAACTTCACTAGCCAATGGCAATAGTCTTTGGAAATTTAAAAAGCCATTATACTAAAAATAAAGAACTAAACCAAAGATGATTAATAACACTTGCAGAGTAGGACAGCTAGAGCATGGTACAACGAACCAAAACTTGAAAGCAACAACTCCAACAGTATGGTTTAGGATGGTTCAATGGCTCTAGTTAACAAGTAGGAGGCAAGGGAGCCCGAGTACCCTACCATAAAAGACAAAAGGCAATAAAGCACTAATAGAAGGGGAGAGAAGTTGTGGAAACAAAGCATCAACAGAGATAAATCCAACAGCCTAAAACCTATTCAAGGGTAAATAACAGAAAGTTCCAAGTTTTGGCAATACCATCACGGCATCACCCCACATCCCAGGTATTTAACAAATCTCATTTTTCACCTAATCACCTCCCTTGTGAAAAAAAAAAAAAAAAAAAAAAAAAAAAAAAAAAAAAAAAAAACTCCATACATTTATGAAACACCAATGACCTGATAAACTAATTCACCTCAAAATTGCCAAAAATTAACTGCCACTCCAAAAGAATGTGAGGTCTTGGACAACCAAAGGCCAGGAAAGATAGATATTTATATGTTTTGACTAAGTTAAGAAAAGAATAGCACATTTTATATCAAGAGCACACACATTCATGCCTTTTAAGGTTACGCAGTGCGAGTACACCGTACGTGTTTTAGTATGTTAGTTACAATCAGGCATGTTCACGGTTTACCCTTTCTTGCCTTCTCAAAAAAATGATAGCAGTTGAAAGTGTGATAGTATATACTCCATAAACCTAATATCAATGTCAAACTTCTTAGCCACTAATAAACAAATAGTACATAGAAATGCAGCCGTGCGGCCCGTGCAAGATAAGAAAATATCAGAGTAGCAGGAAAATATGATAATTTTCAACTGTCAAGGTTGTCAGTGTGAGATTGTGAAGAAATTTCCCGACATTAAGGAGGCAAATTATAATCTACCCTGAATTCAAATAGTTGTCTTTATCAAGACATACATCAGAAGAGAAGTCAGGTTTCTTGACCTAGGCCATACAAAAGGAACAGTATAAATTTAGAAACATGCCTAGAAAATATGTAACACAAAGGTCTATCAAACAGTAACTCCAAAGCAGTCATGCAGCATGTATTATCCAAAACAACCAAAAATAAAACAAAAAAGTTTCTGCAGATTCAATAAATGAAGCCAATGAAGGGATCAGGGACAGCATCACAAGGTGAAAGAAAGTTGGTTCAATTCAATTTGTATATGAAAATGAAATGAGAATAGGACACTTCTTAATAAGGAAAGAAATATAAAAGACTATAGAAACTGAGGCACGAATGAAGCATCCTGACCTTCAAACAGTGAAGCTCAACACCGTCTATGTTATATATGTAGGGGTACCTGCCAATATTTCAAGTGTGAAAGCTCAGAAAATACAAAAAGTATGTTGTGAAGTAGTTATCATAGCAGATATTAAGCAGCAAAGTCAGAATTCCTAACAAACACAAATACATTTAATGGATGCTGCAACAAAAACTGGTCCACAACCAAAACTGACCCAAATCAAAGCTGTTTATGGAAAATAATGAAAGTTTGGCTTATGTAGTTAGAATGACTAAAAATTGACAGTAATAGTGCCATGTAACTAGACTTTACAAGACAAACTGCAACTGCATTGCTGGATTAGGCTCGACTGTTGCAAAAAATAATAGTTGTACACATGTTTTTCGCTTATGATCACAAGTATAGAGATGAAAGATAACAATTTGCCAACAAGAACATGCAATGACCAGTATTCTACATAGACAAGCTGCCACCAGCATAACACAAGTAGACCATCATCTACGAATGGCAGAATGGTAAAAACTCCACTCCAGAATATATGGTTCACTTATTACTAGAATAATCTTATATAGGTAGAAGAAACAGCTTATCATTAGTAAAGATCTCTAGAAAGCCGTCAGTTTTTGTAACAGCATGGTGTAACTGTGGTTGACTAGTTCAATCATCCAACAACATTCCTTGAATTGAGGAAGTAGTTTATGACCACTAAAACAAGATGAATGGATATCAAGACATCCTTAATTTAAAAATTAATTAGAGTATCTCAACTTCTCTACACTGTTAGTCTGTTACACAAACCTCCCTGCTCTACCTTTCATATTCTGCTTTAATGAGCATAAAGCAACTACAGTATGCATCAACTGTCTCATTCTTTAGATTTGGATGTTTAAATCATGGTTGAGAAACTTAAGACAACACACAAGGTTTCCCTTCACACCATATTGGTTTTTACTCCCCTTCAAGAGGGACAGGTGCACCATGTCATCTCAATAGAAAGTATGGATACGTGAAAGATGATAGTAATCCCACAGAAACAGTGCAAATGTATAAAACTTAGCTGTATCAGTATTCTAAATTTCTAGCAAACAACTTCACAGTTATAATCTTTCATTAATCATTCCTGGTGTACAGAAGTCTCTAACCAACCAATCATGAAAATAAAGATTCATTTCAGATAGCATACAGTGGTACAGATCCCAACTTCTCAGTACTGACAGTGATCTCCTCAGTAAGGCAGGGATAATGCATCAACCAAAGGGGGTCCAACATCAACCTCATAGAACCAATAAAATATAGAGATGATAGAGAAGAATCAAAGGATCCTCGCAAATCTCCCAGTAAAATCAAAGAGCTCGCAAGTTTGAGCAATTTCAAGCACAAAATGATATTAATTCAGAGAAAAGCACCATTAAGAATTTAAGATGAAAAGAGGCAGGAAAATCTCACTTCTTTTGAGCAGCAGCAAAATACAGCTCATTGTGCAAGAACACAACATCTCGTACAGTTTCCCGTACCTAAGACAATCAATAATCCTTAGTCAATAACGGTTGAACGATGCATATTACGGTTGAACGATGCATATTATTATACAAGTGATAACAATTAGCACAATGGAAGAATTATGATAGGAATTTTGCCCCCGAGGCTGCTACACACCTGAAATTCCTTAATCAAATTCATATTTTTCACATCAAGGACACCTAAATGGCCCTTGCGCCCTGCAATTGCCATATAACGCCCACTTGGGGTAAAATCAAGCTTGTAAGGACCAAGATCTGAAATCAAGGATAGAAAACAAAGAACATCAGAAAAAGGCAACATCTTAAATTTGCAAGAATAATTAATATGAGGTAAAAGGCTACACTAGTCAAAAGGATTTCCAAATATTCAAAACAAAGGCCAGCAGGAACTGCAACATGACCCACGCTATTAGTTATTGTCTGAGAGCCATTTCAGACAAGCAAAGATACTTCAGCCAAACATCTGTAGTTAAAAGCATGACACCTCAAGCCATATCAAAATCCGGGTTTTTAAAGAAAACTATCACACATTTAACATCTCTTCTTTCGAGAAAATACATAATGGCCATAATAGAACCCCCCCCCCCCTCTTCTTCCCACATACACACATAAAAGCATTGGTTGTTTCTTGTCCTTCTTGAGTATTCAAAGTTTTAATTCCAATTCATACAGCAAGCTTCAAAAACAGATATGAATGCTCTTCACTAAAATCCACGAAACTATATGTTGACTCCTTAAACTAGATAATTTTTCATCACACAGTTATCAGAAATAGAATAACAACCTGGTAACACCATATCGAATTGGTTCTTTAAACTTAGAATATCAACTTCTTTGCCGATAGCCTCCTGTTTTATCCTCCATGTCTTTTCTATACCATCAGGCTCCAAAAAACCACCTTCTGAAGGCAGAAGCCACTGAAAGATTAGACAAAGCATGTTACCAAGGGAACTGTATATTATTGTACAGTATATCACCAAAAAGAATATACAAGTTTATCAAAATGACAACTTTGCCATGTTACCAAAGAAATAAATCATGTTCATATATGAGGTTACAAAAACAGGAGATCAAATGCCTCCTTCCTATTGCCCATCAGACCCTTACTCCTCCCAACAACACACCCACCCACCAAATTATTCTGCTCTTCCTTCATGCCAATTACAAAACAGAACAGAAAACCTCCTTACTCTAATCCATTCAGTCCAAACTCCTCCCATCACCACCACCCTTCCCACACATCCACATAAAACCATCCCTGGCTAGATGTTCTATTACAGGACAACCCTCAGTTCCTCCAATAGAAGAAGGAAAGGACAGAACATTGTTGCCAACCCACGAGTACTGCTACTAGAATGAAGATGAAAATAGGTAGCTATTTTGTTTTTCCAGAAAAAGGTAATTTTAAGAGAACTGAATCCTGAAGATGTCATTAATAAAATTTATCAATTTCCTCTTAATCTCAACCAAGAAGCTGAAGGACGGGAAAGAACAGGAAGAGCATTAATTTATTTGATTAGCAGTAAATGAATACCAATGCAATGGCCTATACAATTGTAAAGGAATAAAACAACAAACTTGACCAGAAGACGTGCAAATTCCAAAAACAGGCATTAAGGCCTATCATATGCCTCAAAATCCTTCAGCAATTATACTAGGTAGAAATTCATAATTCATAGAAACATCCATGGCCTCTACCATTTACAAGCAGCAAGATTGAATGATATACAAAATAATGTGTCCAGAGAAATTGAATATGGAGAATAGCGGCAAGAACTCCTAGCATCGCTTTAAGTGAATCTCTTATTAAGAAAAGACATTAAGAGTGCAGCACTAGATTATGAATAAGACTGGCATTAAGATAGAGAAGGAAGATGTGTCTCAATTCTCATATATGAATTGCATGGCAAAAGCAAATCAAATAAAGACATAGCAGAAATGATGCTCACGATTGGAATGTCCCTCACTCCCAAGTGAAGACAGAATATGCTATGTAATTCAATCTAAAAGGAATCCAATCAAAGACTCCATAAACAACCACTGCACACTGTAGTCTGTATTCTCTGTAATCTTAAATTGCAGATGGATTTCAGATATGTGCTCAGGAATGTATACTTCCATGAATACCTAAATGGCCCTACTTGTATATTGCATGTTCTTATCATAATTATCAAGGCCTACAAGGCTATAATAATATTCAAAGTGGGATTTTGTTCTACATAACTGTTTTGAATACCATAAACAGAAAGAACATTTATAAAACATAGCTAAATCCTTAAAATACCATAAGTGGGGAAGATTTTCAGTGCATATAAGGATTCAAAAGGTGACCTTTTCAACATTGGCTGCTGTTTTTGCAGAGCGTTTAAACAACTCTTCTTTAACAGCAAGCTGTCCCTTCAATTTTTTATCTTGCAAAGCCTGCAATAATAATATAAATAGATTTAAAAAAAAAAAAAAAAAGGAATTAACACAGAATGAAACAGAGAGAAATATCATGACTCAAGCCGCAATGTTCACCATCCGGAAGCTACAGTAATACCAGACCGATGATAGAATAAAAAGGATGACAAAAGAAACAGATACACATACCTCCAAATTAGCACTTTCTCCTCTAAGATACTTCTTTACATTTGCATCCATCTCCTCATCATCCTGCATAGAAAGATTAGAAACCCTTAAATTTTATTATCATCGCACAAAAAAATGACAGAAAACACTATGGGAAAAAACACACACACACCCACCAGAACTTTGTCTGAAAGAAATAAAATTGACGAGTTCCCAGAACTGAAATTTAAGATGAACCTGACTAAGGGACTCATGACTCTCAAACACATGGGCATAGGCCCGATAATAACATTGCAAAGGAGAGTCACTAGATACAAATGCTTCTGGAAAAATTAGGTGGCACCATATAATTTACATTCTAAGTCCACAAAGCTATAGCTTTCCATTCAACCAAAATTGATTACATTCATCTTTTCTTTTAACCCACAAAACTCATCTTGCCGCTCCTCTATATTCACTTCCTACATGACTAAAACAACGGTATATCGTGGCTCGCCTTCATTATGATATTAGGTTCTCCACTAGCTCCACAAACAACTTCCAAGCAATGGATAACAAATTGATCTATTCACACAACTAATTTCCTAGCGAATTTGCCCCAATGATATGTTTGATTTATATATCGCGGGTTTTCACCATTTCAAACACAGCTTAAGTGAATTCCAGATAGTCATTTTCTTCTTGTGAAGTCCACACCACCACCCCCCACAAAAAAAAAAAAAAAATAATAATAATAATAAATTAAATACCAATGCAAACCTAATTTGTTCTCCGTCACACTTTAATAGGCCACATTCCGATATTCTTCACAATACAACATAGCATAGTAGTTTCTATCATCAATATATATCAAAAAAAGCATAAATATAAAGCAATAAACCCTAAAAAATCAAACTTTAACTTGAAAATTCAAGCAAAAACATACCAGCTCAGTAGCAGGAACAATCTTCTCCGCCCTAACCACCATTTTTATCAGATTTCTCACACTTTTAGCGGCGAATTTGAAAACTGCAATGAAAAAAGGGGCAAATATTTAATGAACATTGAAGATTGAATTACTAACAGAAATTAAAGCGGAGGAGAGAGAAAGAGGTGAGACCGTGAAATAGCGGTTGCGGCCGTCGGTGAGTAAGACGTCGACGGGAAGATGGCGGCAGGAAAAATTGGAGGGGAAGGTGTAAATTTGTGAGTTGTATTGAGGGTTTTGGGAAGGGTTTAGAAAATGTACGAGGATGAGAAGCTCTACCTACTTTAGCTATCTCTCACTCCCAGGGTTTAGAAAATCTATAACCTTCGATGACCGGCTAATTGACCAGATTGATAAATAAAAATGACCCCTACCTATAATTTGTGTAAAAGAAGCTAACCATATGTGATAATTGACCATATTAATAAATAAAAATAAATAAAAAAAAAAATCTAACCATATGCGATAATTGACCAGATTGGTTAATATAAAAGACACTTAGCGACAATTTATTTAGTAAAAGAAGCTAACCATACACGACAATTTAGTAAAAATAATAAACTCTAGCTACATTTAGACCAAAAAATCTAACTTTTTTTTTTTTGACAAACTCTTTAAAAATCCTAATTTAATTTGTTTTTGTGTTTTTCAATTTATTTTTCCCTTTTAAAATTTTAAATTAATATGTCAACTCCTTTTATTTTGCTAAATTCCGATCCTAAATTTATTTCCAACCCCTTATTTAAAACATTTCGTTAATAAAGGATATCAAACTTAAGTGAAAATTGATATGGAGTACGTTTTTTTTTTCTTGAAATTGTTATTTCCATAAAAAGGGTAGGTAAAAAAAACACAAAAACGAACCAAATTAAGTATTCACGAGTAATTTCTCATAAATTTTTGTATTTTTTGGGTTATTTGTCGCCTGAGATAATTTTATTTACCAAATTGTCGTTTAGGATTAACTTATTTTACCAAATTGTCGCATGAATGAATTTTTTTACCAAATTGTCATTAATGGTCTTTTTTATTTACCAATTTGGTCAATTGGCCATTTATGACCCTTACTAATATATGGGAACTTCTATTTGAACCCCCCCCCATTTTCATTTTTTGAACTATAATTTAAATAGTTTCAAAATCTAATTATTTTTATTGAATTGAAATTATTTGCTGAACTAAAATTATTTTTACTAATTTATTGTTATATTTTTTAAAAAATTTACTAATTTTTACTGAATTGAAACTATTCAAAGATAAGGAGTATTATTGGCAAGAGAAAGCTTCATTAAATAGGATAAAAATCATAAAAAAAAAAATAAAAAAAATAAAAAAAAAATAAAAAAAAAAAAGAGCTCCCGAGAAGCTACTTTGAGAAGCATCATTTTGGTGTTTCTACGGGCCTGTTCATATTTACTGAACTGAGCTGAACTGATTGGAACTGAACTGAACTGATTGGAACTGAACTGAACTGAACTAGGCTGAAATGAATATTTTATGAGAGAGGGAAATTAAGAGTTGAACTGAACTGAACTGATTGGAGTTGAACTGAACTGAACTGAACTAATTGGAGCTGAACTGAACTAAACTGAACTGAACTGAACTGAAAATAAGTAAATATGAACAGGCCCTACGTCTCTTTGCTCCCAAAAAAATTGGGCTTCTAAAAAAATCATTTCAACTCCTCTAACCACCCCTGTTTGGCCCAATTTGTGTTTCTGAAGTTGAGAAATAGTTCTAAGATTCTAAGACTTGGTTAGTTTCCATGTCATGCACGGTAATTTTCAATAACCATTATTAAACTACCATTGTAATTGATTTTTATAAAGAAAAAAAAAATTAGAATATAGTTACAAAATTTGATCAAAGTACAGAACTACAAAGATATGTTAGGTATAAAATGATGTAGAAAATAATCAAAATTATGTTAAGAAAGTTTTTTTTATAGCTATATAAAAATTTGTGTTTAAATATGTCAAATCCTTTTATTTTTAGTAATTACATTGTACTCTACAACATTAGGGAATTATTTTTGTATAAAAATTTGTTCAATAATATAATTTCAAAAAAAAAACTAAGGACACACCAGGATATGACACGTGTCATTGTCGGTGTGTCTTTTAGTATATAGTTAATGATTGACTAGGGTAAACAACACCTTATTCAATTCCTAAATTTGTCCTAATGATGAGGCCACAGTACCACACCAACGAGTGAAGATGTGGAGAGCCATTATGAGAATTATTTTGTTAGTGTCATAGTTGTTTTGTTTTATTGTTTGAGTATATATTATTAGGGATTGTTTGGTTGAATCATATAGAATGTATTGGAATTGAGTTAGAACCGTTCCATTAATAATTTTATTTGGTTGAATTTTTTTAGTAATGGAAATTAAATCTTAGGTGTTCTAACTAGGGATGACAATCTAGTCTGGATCCGACCCTATTCCGCCCCGATCCGAGGTAAAATATCCGCTCCGAGTCCGAGAAAAAAGTAATCCGAGTTTGACTCCATTAAAATAATCCGACTCCGAGTCGGAGGAGGGTCGGAGTCGGATCCTACAAAAAATCCGAGAAACAAATCCGACTCCGACAAATGTCCGACTTTAACGGATTATCCGACTCCGACTCCAATAGATAGTGGATTTTTGTGTGGGTCATGGTGGCATTGGGTGTGGGTTGCAAAGGCCCAAATAGGCCAACATCTCAAAGTATATTGAATAATGAAAAAAAAAACTCGGAGTCAGGTCGGATCGGAGTCGGAGTCGGAGGTCGGATATTGAAGTCGGAGTCGGATGTCGGATTTAACCTCCGACTTCCTGTCGGGTCGGAGTCGGATTTAGCATAATCCGCTTCGAGTCGATCCGACCCGTTGCCATCCCTAGTTCTAACTCTACCCATACCCTTAAAAATCCCAATTTATCTCTATCTCCCCTTAAGATTCACAATCCATCTTAATAAAGTATAGAATCCATAACAAATTTCCAACAATAAAATTAAACAACTTTAAACTAATAGTACGAGTTTTAGAATCTGATCCATATCTCTCTAGTATAAGATTTTAGACCAATCCATTCCAACTTGATGAACCAAACACCCCTTTAATTGAATGAATTGTGAATTTTAGGGCAATATGTGAGTATGAGTGTATGCGATTCTAGAGGTATGAGGTAGAGTTAAAACTATATGTGTATGAGATTCCATTACAAAAGAAATTCAACCTAATACAAAAATAGATAGAAAATGGGGGTAGAGATACAAAAAAAGCAGATAGTTAGGATGTTTGTGTTGGTGCTAATAATAGTGCTAATAAGCAGCAGTAATGTAGCTGAGGCGCAGCACACCGGCTGCCTAAAGTCACAGTCAATTGCACTCCATATATTGTTAAACCGATATTTGATTTCGATGTCAAAAATGGTGATGATATCAAACGATTTTATTAGCAATGCAACAAAAGAATTTTCGAAATTTAATCAAGTCATTGATGATTATTGTAACGAGTTATTAAAGCAAGGCCAATGCCTACCAAGCGAGGTAGATAAATTTGGAGCCTTTAAGGAGTGCCTGATGGTTCAACAAAGCATGCTGCTTAATAACTATAAACATACGATAAATATGCCTCAAACCCGGTCGGTCCCTGCTGCTTCCATCACTACGTTACAGGTCACAGCCCATGTTGCTGCCATCACCAAGTTTGTCCAATCCTTCCCAAAACAGCTTTCCTCTTGCGTTAAATCTGCTGGATTACATTAAGCTCCTATCTCAAGACTTCATGCTCCTCATCATCATGATCATGAGGATCGTCTTCATTTTATTTTTTGTAATTACTACATCTGTTGAGTGTTATTTATGAGATAAAACTATTCCAAAATTACTACTAATACAGTAGTAATACTTAACGGAGGTAGTATTTTATTTGTTGTCTATTTGCATTTGTACTTGTACTTGTATTCTTAATTCTTATGCATGTATATGTTATGTTATTTCTGTACTTTATGTATAATTGATTCAACTTCTCCATCTACTCTATGTTTTAGAATCATGGTGTCTTTTATGAGCTCATTAGTGTACGTCTGTATCCGGAAACTCTTTGTATATGAGAGAATATGTGAATATTTGCCGTGGCTTTCTCATTGATTGAACATCAATATATAATACAAGTGTACACTAGGGTTAAGGGTACATAAGTAAATTACAAACTATAAATATAATGCACGATTATTTACATAATCTAACAGTATATATCTGGTTATTGTATACCTAAGGTTATCCATACTATCACAAAAGTTACCTATGCACAATAGTGAGGAAAAAAAAATTCCTCACCACTCTCTCTACATTTCCTTCTCCTCCACGTCAGTTTCTGGTGAGATTTTTTTTTTTTTTTTTTCATTCCACAATATAATTAACTAAAATTTCCCTCATCAATATATATCTCTCCTACAATTACCCATACCTACCACATATCTCTCCTCCAATTACCCATACCCAAAACATTTCTCTCTTTTACTCTCTCCGTTACATATTAGTATATTACTCGCAACAAAAAGGAATTATTTGTGAAACATAAAATATTACTTTGTTGCGAGTAATATGTATCAAAGGGAGTATTTTATTTGTAATTTAGTTAAATATATGCCCTAATATCAATTTTTATCAAAAAGAAAAAGAGGACATTTATCACATTTCATCACTGTGAGACTCGTGAGAGGTTTTATTATTATTATTATTATTATTATTATTATTATTATTATTATTATTATTATTATTATTATTATTATTATTATTATTATTATTATTATTATTATTATTTGTTCCAGCCATTTCACCCTTTGGGTTAATCCGGATGATCAGTTTTGAGTGGTTAGGTTCCAGTCATCTCCATTTATTGTGATAAAGTTCATAACTTATTAACAAAATAATGGGAAACTTTTGGTGAATAATCACCATTGTGATGAAATTTCGCCCAAAGAGGGCCAATTGACCATATTGGTATATAAGTTAACACCCTTATGACATATTGTATATAAATTATTGTCGGCGACATATTGGTATAAAAATTAACATGTGGCGACATATTGGTATATAAATTAACAAATTGTGACATTTACCCCTATTTTTTCTTCGGATGAAAGAGCATGTTATATACTTCAAAATTTTGTTTTAATTACTTTTGCAATCTTATTTATTATCATAATATACTTATTTAGCACCAAATAATAATTTTTCCCTCTTTCCTTCCAATACAATAACTTTGATAAATCAATCAAACGATAAAACCCCAAAGAACTAATAAACAATAAACAAAATCTCAATATTAGTTATTTAATTTCAAAACCAATTACTAGTAGAAGCTAATTTTCATTATTACTTCATTTGTATTATACCCACAACTTTGTAAATCAACAATATAATTAGAAAAAAATATATATATGAGTGTTTTTTTAAAAAAAAAAAGAAGAATCTACCCTTGTGATGCTTCAATGACCAACGCCCTCAATACATTCAAGCTTATATCCCTTTGCTCAAGCTTTCCTATTTGTTTTCCCCTAGCTTCTTTCTCATCACTTTTGGGCTTTCAACTTTTTTTTTTTTTTTTTTTTTTTGGATTTTTACTTCATAATTTTTAAAATTAATATAAAAAGTAGAGAAAAGTACAAAAAAAAATGTCAAATAAAAGTTATTAGCACTAAAATTAAGCGCATGTATCATACGCATATCCTCCGACGAGAAAATAGGGGTAAATGTCGCAATTTGTTGACTTATATACCAATATGTCGCCACATGTTAATTTTTATACCAATATGTCGCCGACAATAACTTTTATACCAATCTGTCATAGGGTGTTAACTTTTATACCAATATGGTCAATTGGCCAAGAATAACCTCACATGAATAATTAATTCCATAAAAGTTACCAATATTAGATCACTTTTATTGTCACAAAAAAAAATCCTTAAACTATTAAAACTTACCCATAAATTATCAAAAGTTACTCATAATGTCTCAAAGTTAACAATATTTCTTCTTTTTTTTTGCCACACAATAAATTATTATGCACCTAAGTTTTAAAAACATTTGTCCAATCTCGATCTTTATTCTATTTGCTTAAATTCGTCCAAATTTAACCCAAAATTACGTTTAGATGTTTTCTCATGAATACCTTATACCTATCAAATCAATGCATCCATTAACAAGTAGTGGAATTGAAAGTGTAAGATCATAATCTTTTGTAAATCTCAATCTTCCAAAAAGATTATGATTTGCTGGCTTTTAGGAGTTGAAGGACGTGGAATATGACATAATTGAAGCCTGGAACATGAGTTTTTAATCAATAATTGATGGTTGTTTATATAAAAAAAAATAAAAATAAAAATAAATGATTTATTAATTAATCAATAATTGATGGTTGTTTATGCAACTAAATTAAAAACAATAGAGTAATTTAATAACGTAAGAATGAATCAATTTTTTTTTTTTTTTTTATATGCGAAGATTACAAATAATTAATTAAGGCAAACGAGAGAATGATTCAATGAGTGAATAAAGAAGTCCTTAGACAATGTGTATATATATGCAAATATATTGATAACAAGTGTTTCGGGTAAAAACGATAGGACCTTCGGCAAGGTCATTTTTCTGTGGGCTGAATATTGATCTCGGTCCAAGTGATGACCGAGCCGAGGATTTCCTGCACAGCAAGCACACGTAAACTAGCCTCGGGGATTTTGCCGAGGAAGGCTCCTCCGATGCTAAAGTTAGTATGAGGTTTAGAGAGAGAAAGTTATGCAAGAGTATTAATAGCTTGAGGCTTAATGTGAATGAATATAGAGAGAGAAGGGTGAAGACTTTTAGACCTTGATAGTTAAATGGGCCTTGGGGTCAAACGGGTTTGTCAGGTTGACCGGGCTTTTGACCAACTTAGCATGGTTGGAGAGTTGAACCTTAGCCTTAGGCTTTGTAATTGAATCATTTGTGGACCAGTCCGATTGGAGTAAATTGGACCCAAACAACTTGCCCCCAAACCCGATTCGGAAGCATGAAGGATCGGGTTTTGACTTGCAAAAATGGAGGGAAGTAAATGATTTAATCAGAATTAAAATTTGGGTAGTTATTGAGGTAATAACGGTTATTTAGAGAGTAATTAGGGGAGTTGTAAGGTTTAGTGGTTGGTAAATTAGAGAAACACATGAACAGTGTAGCATTGAAGTGGGATTAGTGGGGGTTTTAGTGGCGCGGACTCCCAAAATTCCTATTTTTAGGAGGTACTTAAGCCACTCGTCCCACTCCCTTTCCTTATCTTCTTTCGCTAGTTTCATTTTAATTTCTCGACAATTTCCGTCACTAAATCACTTTCCCCTTTCCCACTTATTCTGAGCAATCCGAAGTCTTAAATTGAAATCCTCCGTTGCTTCAAACTTGTAGATCGGCGGATTTCGTTTTATAAAGTTTATTTTCTCCGAAGTTTCCTCGGCGGATTGCGGATTGCGAATTGCTGGCGTTTAGGAGTTGAAGGACGTGGAAATTGACGGTGGGATGGTCGATGACTCGAAAGTGAGCTTAGGAGGGATTTTAAAGGGAGGAATGTTATGCATGTAGAAATGTATAATAAGGGGCATTCATGTAATTACATGTATGTACGTACAAATAAATGCCCATATTCTGGTATCATTGAATGATCAAATGGTAACACTGAACGTACAATTATACATTTATACTATAATATATATGCATATAATGGTATTATATATACATCCAGTTGTACTAAATTTATGCATAAATAGTACCACTGAAGATTCAATAGTACTCTCTCTCTCTCTCTCTCTCTCTCTCTCTCTCTCTATATATATATATATATATATATATATATATATATATATATATATATATATATATATATATATATATATATATATATGCTTCCATTGGAATAATAAGCATATGGTCCCCCATCACGTGATACAATCCGACCAAAATATAGGTGGGGTCCACCTACAGACCTATTAGTTCTTTTAATCAATGTTTCCTCCATTTTTACTTTCTCGTGAGCTTAGTTTAGTACGTTTGTAATAGAGCTGGAAAATTATGATAGATGATCATCATCCGTTTTGACAAAAGTGTTAAATATATATCTTGTAAATATATTTCTATGTATATCTTATACTTAGTCAAAGGTTGCTTAATTAGCTCCTTGTATTTAGGCTAGTATCACGCCTAATGAAAGGCAGTAGCTTGTATATATGCTGACCTCCATATTGTGAATAATCAAGGAAAATATTCCCCAATTCTATCATGGTATCAGACGCATAGGGTTTAATCTTCTCGTTTCCGCTTGCCCTTTGCATCAATCTCTGCCCAACGTCCTGTTCTCCATCTCTTTCTTCTCTGTTCTGTTCCTGCTATTCTCTATGGCGGAAAACAAATCCAACTTTCACCCTGCTTTCACCGTCAACAATATCCAAACATGTATCCCTATTGTTCTTGAAATGGAGAACGTCTCTTACTCTACATGGGCAGAACTTTTCAAGATTCACGCAAGAAAACATAAGGTCCTCGATCATATCATCCCTCCTTCTGATGGTAAGGGTAAAGTTCCTTCTACGGATGAAGAAAAGGAACTTTGGGCGACCTTGGATGCCACGGTTATATCGTGGATTTATTCGACTATTTCTCGCGACCTATTGAACACCATTATCGAACCGGATGCTACGACCATGGAAGCTTGGGATAGATTGCATGATATATTCCAAGACAATCAACATTCCCGTGTTGTCGCTCTTGAACAGGAGTTCTCTTCTACTTCTATGGAGGATTTCCCGAATGCTTCAGCTTATTTCCAACGTCTTAAATCCCTTGCGGATCAATTAAAAAAACGTTGGAGCTCCGGTTTCTGACAGTCGTATGGTGTTACAAATGGTTGGAGGTCTTACCCGTGCTTACCGTGGCGTTGGTACTATTATCCGTCAGAGCAATCCCCTGCCTCCCTTCTACAAGGCTCGCTCTATGTTGGTCCTCGAAGAATCTGGGTTGGCCAAGGAGCCAGCCACGGAATCCGCTATGGTGGCGGCTTCAATTGATGATGGTGGTTCTGAAAAATCGGGTCACTCCAAGAAGAAGCACAATGGTGGTTCAAATTCGGGTGGCCGGAAGAACAATGGTGCTAGGAAAAACACCGGTGGCGGTCGCGGCGGTAGCTCCGGCACAGGTGGTGGCGGTAAAGGAGGCCAACCTGGTGGCAGCGGCGGACAGCAGCCACCCCCCCCCCGCAGTGGCAAAAATATCCATGGGGGTGGTCTTGGCCCGTACCTCCATGTCCATATCCCACTCAAGGGTGGGCTAGACCCCCCTCCTTTTCCAAGCAGGCTGGTGTATTGGGCCCAAGGCCACAACAACAACAGGCCTATGTGCAGCAGGCTCCTTCTTCACATATTGGGCAGTCCATGTCTTATTCTCCTACCGATATTGAAGCCGCAATGCACACAATGACTCTGCGGCAACCCGATCTGGCTTGGTACATGGACACTGGTGCCACGTCTCATATGAATTCCTCTTCTGGTAATCTCTCGTCTTATTTTAATTTGAGTAATCATCCAAATAATAATATTGTTGTTGGTAATGGTCACACTATTCCGATTCTTGGCTATGGTCAATCTAATTTGTCTTCCTCTTGTCAACCCCTTTCTTTGAAAAATGTTCTACATGCTCCCAAATTGATCAAAAATCTGATTTCTGTTCGAAAATTTACTACTGATAATTCTGTGCCGGTTAAGTTTGATCCTTTTGGGTTTTCTGTGAAGGATTATCGGACGGGGAAGCCAACAATGAGATGTAATAGCCAAGGGGACCTTTATCCAATTTCATCTTCTCACAACAATCAACCTCTTTCTTCCACTTTTGCTGCTGTCACTCCTAAGCTTTGGCATGATCGATTGGGTCATGCGGGGAATTCTATTTTAGATGTGCTTAGGAAAAATAAAAGCATTGATTGTCCTAAACATTCTAGCTCTAGTATTTGTGGTTCATGTGTACTTGGAAAACACATAAAGTTGCCTTTTGTTTCCTCTTCTTCGAGTACTTTGTTACCTTTTGATATTATACATAGTGATCTTTGGTCCTCTCCTGTTTTGAGTTCTGTTGGGCATAAATATTATATTTTGTTTTTGGATGATTATTCCAAGTATTTGTGGACTTTTCCGTTAGCCCGGAAATCGGACGTATATGACATATTCTTGACCTTTAAAAATCATATTTCCACTCAATTCGAACGTAATGTCAAAAATGTTCAAAGTAACAATGGTATGGAATTTGATAATGGTCCTTTTTGGGAATTTCGTAAAAATAATGGCTTGTCATTCCGTCTTTCTTGTCCTCATACCTCTTCTCAAAGTGGGAAAGCCGAAAGAAAAATTCGGACTATAAACAATATCTCTCGTACTCTTCTTGCTCATGCCTCTCTCCCCCCCTCTTTTTGGCATCATGCTCTTCAAATGGAAACATACCTTCTTAATGTCATTCCTAGTAAGTTGTTGGGAAACAAGTCTCCTGTAGAGGTTCTTTACAAATGGATTCCTTCATATTCTCATCTTCGGGTTTTTGGTTGTTTGTGTTACCCTCTTTTCCCATCTACAACTATTAATAAGTTGCAACCTCGGTCAACACCTTGTGTTTTCTTAGGGTATCCAACCAACCATCGTGGTTACAAATGTTATAATTTGTCATCTAATAAAATTATTATTTGTCGCCATGTGGTGTTCAATGAGAATGTGTTTCCATTTGCTCAATTGCATTCCCCACAACCCCACACTTACGATTTTCTAGATGATAGTTTGTCACCTTACTTGATTCACCATATGCAGCAGCCCAGTTCTTCTCCTCAAGCCCAAACTGAGCAGCCCACTCCTCCAAGTCCACAAAATGCCTCCTTCTCTCCTCCGGGCCAGCAGACCCCACGCGGCCCATCTCCTAGCAGCAGCCTCCCCTCACCGAATGGGCCTAATTCCGGGCCATCTTCCTCTCTCCACTCACCTCCTACCCCTGCCCAACCTTCTCAAACACAAAACCCACCAACTTTTCCACCTCCACAAAATATTCAAGACCAACAGCCAAGAATCATGACCCGTAGCCAGCATGGGATTTTTAAACCAATAAAAAATATTCCATGCACACGTCGGTTGAGAGGTCTCCTTTGCCTCAAAATCGGATTGAGGCTCTACGTGATCCAAATTGGAAATTGGCCATGGATGATGAATATGATGCTCTTATTAAAAATAAGACGTGGGAGTTGGTGCCCCGTCCTCATGATGTGAATGTAATTCGGTCTATGTGGATTTTTACTCACAAAGTCAAATCTAACGGTGTGTTTGAGAGGCATAAAGTCCGACTTGTAGGTGATGATAAAACTCAACAGGTGGGCATCGATTGTGGGGAGACTTTTAGTCCCGTGGTGAAGCCGGCTACAATCCGGACTGTTCTCAGCTTATCTCTCTCAAAGGCATGGCCAATACATCAATTGGATGTCAAAAATGCCTTTCTTCACGGTGAGTTACAGGAAACTGTCTATATGCATCAACCCTTGGGTTACAGGGATCGTGACCATCCTGATTATGTTTGCCGTTTGGATAAGTCCTTGTATGGGCTTAAGCAGGCCCCCGAGCATGGTATAAGCGATTTTCAGATTATGTTTTGTCTCTTGGGTTTACTAACAGCGCAATGGATAATTCATTGTTCATTTATCGTAAGGGGTCTAATATGGCATACATTATATTATATGTTGACGATATAGTTCTCACTGCTTCTTCTGATGCTCTCCGTTGCTCTATTATGAACCATCTTAGCTCTGAGTTTGCCATGAAGGATCTCGGCCCTCTGAATTATTTTTTGGGTATTGCTGTGACCCGGAATAAAAATGGTATGTTCTTATCTCAACGGAAATATGCCGAGGAGATAGTTGAACGAGCAGGGATGTCTTCTTGTAAACCTTCTGCTACTCCGGTTGATAAAAAGCCTAAGGTTAGTGCTACTTCTAGTACTACATTTGATGATCCCACTCTTTATCGGAGTCTTGCAGGGGCTCTCCAGTACCTTACTTTTACTAGGCCGGATATCTCGTATACTGTTCAGCAAGTGTGTTTGCATATGCATGATCCCAGGGTAGACCATATGTCTGTTCTAAAACGGATTATTCGGTACATTAAGGGTACATTGGATTATGGTCTACATTTATACCCATCTTCTTTCTCTACTCTGGTGTCATACACGGATGCAGATTGGGGTGGGTGCCCTGACAGTCGACGGTCTACTTCGGGTTATTGTGTATTTTTGGGTGATAATTTGGTGTCGTGGTCGTCGAAGCGACAACCCACATTGTCAAAATCTAGCTCCGAAGCAGAGTATCGTGGGGTGGCTAATGTTGTATCCGAATCCTGTTGGCTTTGAAATCTTTTATTAGAGCTACATTGTCCGATTAAAAAGGCTACTCTTGTTTATTGCGACAATGTGAGTGCTATTTATTTATCAGGAAATCCGGTACAACATCAACGGACGAAACATATTGAGATGGATATTCATTTTGTCAGGAAGAAAGTTGCTCGGGGAGAAGTTCGTGTGCTTCATGTGCCTTCTAGACATCAAATTGCAGATATTTTTACTAAGGGCCTTCCACGAGTTTTGTTTGATGATTTTAGGGACAGTCTCAACGTCCGTTGCTCTCCCGCTTCGACTGTGGGGGTGTGTTAAATATATATCTTGTAAATATATTTCTATGTATATCTTATACTTAGTCAAAGGTTGCTTAATAAGCTCCTTGTGTTTCGGGGTTTTCTGATGTCCTGCGGGAGAGTTACAATTCCGAGACTGGAACCGGACGCCTGTACCTGCAAAATAACGGAGACTCCTTTGAGCTCCGCCTCCAACGGTCAAGTTAGTACCTGATTAAGGAGTAATTAATGCGGAAATTAAAGTAATAAGGTCTCTCTAGGTGAGAGTGTTTAATGTAGGTAATCTGCTTTGTTAGCGAGATCAGCCGGTTATTACTGTGTGTAATTAATGTGTTTTTTCGTCCTCCCCCTTAATGAGGATTAAGGGAGGTATTTATAACCTTGGGAAACGTGCCCATCCTAGGTTTAGGTTAACCTAGGGCTGATTGGGCTTCCCTCGGAAGTTGGGCCTGGGTGGCCGGGTTCTCCATTAGGCATGGAGTATGCCACATGTCGTGACATAACAGGTCCAAGGTGGACGAATAAGCGCGTGCCACGTGGCAAGCCCTGACAGTTCCAACCAGGGGACACTTGGCAGGACCTGATTGGTCCACGTGGCGCATTCCGATTGGTGGGAGCAAAATCCCCTAATCATTTGCCCCTCACAGGTGGCACGTGACTGGTCACGTGTTACCTGTGACAGGTGTCGCACAGTAACGGGCGACGGCCTGCTACAGGTGTCAGTCGGCGAAAGGACGAGAGATTTTCCCGCCCAAATTTTGAATTCTGGAAGTGACCCTTCGCCTTCTCACTTCGCCTATATAAGGGAGAGTTGCCTTGAGTCATTTTCATACTTTGAGAACTATTTGAGAACATTCGGACCCCTGAACTTGCTCTGACATTTTGGACTTTTTCTGCCTACCGCCTGTTCTGACAAGCCGACTGCACAGGATTTTCAGAACTTCATCAACCGTCACTCGTTCAGGTAACTCAGTTCTCTTACTCTTAATTTTCTTTTTATTTTCTGAAATGGCACCAAGGAAGCACACGACACGACCTAGGTTAGTGATCAGCCGGTCACCGGGGACGGCTGAATCTAGGACTAGGAGTGCCGCCTGCCCTTTTCCGGACCCATCTTTGCCCTTTATACAAAGTCCGACTGTATCTGTGTCTATGCAGAGCAGGATGGCCAGAACGAA